TTGTTGTTGTTGACACAACATTTTAGCCATTTTGTTCTCCGGCCTTCATCAGGTGTATATCGATCCGGGTAACTAATTAAATAAATGTAAATAAAATGTAAATAGCATAAATAAATGATAAGTAAATAATAAATAAGTATAAATAAATTTATAAACAAATGGGTTGTATAACAATTTCTTCTTTATGTGCAGTAGCCGATTATGACCCTCCACATCGTCCTGTCCCTTGTAGCTCTTAATAAATGCTGTCATTTTGCTATTTCTCACAAACGTTGTTTTACCATCAATTTACCCAAGCCCATCAAATCTGTTACGTACTGTTTTACTCTGTCCCTGTTTTCCTCAATCTGTTCTGTGAGTATCAGATTTTCCAAGCCTTCCTTCTTTGTTACGTGACCCAGAAATTTCAACTGCCTCTTTTCGTTTCCATTCTCTCCAAAACTTCGTCTTTGCTCACATGTTCGGCCCATAGTATCCTCAGTATCTTTCTGTAGAGCCACATAAGTGACGGAATTTGCGACGCATAAATCCGAAGACGCAAAGGAACAGTGAAAGATGCTTCGCGTAAAGGTACAAGAGATGAAAAAAATGTCCTTAGAAATAAAGAAATAAGTACTGAACGGCCTCGTAACGTCTGGTTTTCTATAATCCTGTGAATTTCGGATAATTCCGTGAAAAAAAGCACTTGAAACGACAGAGATGTGCTTCAATGGACAAATGTCCAGAAAATCATGGATACATCAAAGAACAAGGAAGTTCGAAGGAGAATAAGAACTTACAATCAAGAAGAGACAGTTGACATTTCAGGAACGAATAATGAGGAAAGAAAGCTTGGGGAATTTAACACTCATAGTGCATATCAAGGACAAAATTAAGAGAAAACAACGAGAAACTTGCACAAGGATCTCAAAGATAAAGAGAAGTCTTGAAGGAGCAAATATTGCGAAAAGCAATGAAACATGAGAAACTGCGGAGAGCAGTGATCGTCCATGTCTTGAAATGCATAAAGATACAAAGAAAGTCCGCCCTAAGTGACTGGATTGGATTGGGTTGGTTGATTTCCTCATATTCGGTTATTTAATGTCGAATTTTGTATGGGGCACCTGGTGAGGATCGAAGCCACTACTCAATAGTAATGATCAATCAAACTAGCTTCGCTAATAATGATACAATGCCTAGGTGTTCCTAAGAGATTGTTGTGTCAAGAATCTGAAAGAGTGGACATTTCTGAGGCCTGTAATAAAGAATGTGGGCTTGGATAATTTGACACACAGGATAGTGATTTTCCAAGCGTAGCTCAGATGTGGCACAAGGCCGAAAGTATGGGGTACCCAGGGAGGATCGAGCTTACTACTCAGTCGTAATTGTTCTAGCGAGACAAGCTTGCTAACCATTACACTGCCTCGAGGTGCCCGTTTGACACACAGTATATATCAAAGGCAAGAAGTGCAGAGGAAAATATCGAGTAACCTAATTAGCGAGTTTATTTAATAGACTTCAGAACAAGGATTATGAGCAATAGTAAGGGGACAACTATACCTTAGAGTTACAAAGGAGAGAAAGTTGTGGAGAGCCATAATCGCCGATGTTCTGAAGTGATACGGCAAGAAGAAGAACAAAATTGAAAGGTAAATGGGGACAGGAGAGAAATAGAATCGATATTTTATTATTGAGCTTAAAATATAAGACAATTTGACATTGATGTAGATGGCGCGCTAAAGACTGAATAAATATGGCTGCGCTTTCAAAACACGAAATAAACAAAAATAAACACCTGATTGGATGATTGGATATTCACATGAATTCAAATAGAAACTAAAATATAAAGGGGTGTGCAAAAAATAAACACCCACATGTGCATTCTGGGATGAATTTAATTCATTTGCATACAAAATGATGAAAATACGTAAACAATTTCGAAAGAAATATAGTCTTTACAAAAACAGACGACTACTGACATATGCAAAGACATAAGCTTTCAAATCGAATATAAAAGAAGATATAATATAAATACATAACTAACATAAATTTAATTTTATTCATACCTCTACAAACGTTATTAAATTGCATTATCTTATTCTTCCTCAATCGCAGAAACATAGAGTGGATATTTTAATTATAGATTATGACTTAAAATTCAGTCACTGAAATTTGCTTAGAAAAATCTAAATTTGACCACAATTATTTGCAGTATTTACACTCGGGCTACTGACCTAATCTTTGTTACTATTTTTGTTTATTTTTTTTTTTTAATGATTTTTAATCCTTCAGGCAAGTCAATAAAACAACTAAGGTGCAAGGAATTTACTAAGAGTGAAAAAATACGAGAAAAAGAAACAAACGTTATTAAGGAGAGAGAACAATAAAAGAATAGGAATTAAGAAGACAATAGATAACGATTGATATTGCGCTTAAATTTCTGAAGATCAAAGTTGACTGGAAAGCAAAAAACTGGAAGAGGATTCCACAAGCTAGAGGTGCGAGAGAAGAAACATTTCAGCTTTTGTGCTTTCCGACCTTCTTGTCGATCTGGAACGATAACAATTTACCGCCAGAGATTATATTCGTTCAGTTCGAATTTTTCTGGATCGACAAGAACCCGAATATAATCGGAGTCTTACAACACCCGAAACGCTGTGATAACACCAACAAAAATGACGACAGAGCAAGGGTAATAATGTTAACTCATCATCCTAGAATTTGAGATACAAATTGTTTATAATTATACATACATTAACTAAATTCAAGCTTTTATACTTTAGACTAATATTTTGTATAAATCAAGTTCCATAAAATAATAAAAGTGAAAGGAGAAAGAAAAAGACCACAGCATATGAAAATATGTAATTGCTAACCACCCATTTGACCAGGTTGGAATTTGTATATAAACTTAAAAAAGTGCAAACAAACTATTTTAGTGCAGGAAACCCGCTTCTGCTGCTAAGAGAATCCGAATACATAATTTATCTATTCATTTATTCATATATTCTTTCAAGCAGTAGTCTGATAAATAATCAACATTTTCTGTGTGCATCACTATAACAACAACAACAACAACAACAATAATAATAATAATAATAATAATAATAATAATAATAATAATTATTATTATTATTATTATTATTTTTTCCAGTCAACTTTGATCTTCAAAAATTTAAATACATCATCAATTGTGAATTTTTGTCGTCTTCATTCCTGCTGTGTTAATGTTCTCTCTTCTTAATAATGTTTTCTTTTTTTTCATATTGTCTCACACTCAGTAACCCCTTGCGTCTTAGTGGTTTTATTTCCTTGTAAAGGGCGAAATTATTAAAAAATATCTAATTGTTTACTGTTTAATCTAATCCTTTACCGAGACACTTGATAAGGGAAAGTATTAAATATGCGCGTTCTGTTTGCGCAGATACTGATGTTAAGTGATAATCAGCATATACAGTATTTATATATATATATATATATATATATATATATATTTTACACTGAGTAGAGGAGTAGTTCTACACAGTGTAATCTATTATTAACAGCGTTATTATTTTCTTCTGCGTTCTGTCCACTACAATCATTTACCGGGTCATTACTCGAAATCTAGGAGAGTAAATATATGCATTCTTTTTGCACAAATTCTGATGTTAAGTGTTACTTAACATGTACAGTGTTTATATTTTCTTTACATTGATTATACTCCCCAGAGTAATTGAGCAGTTGCACACAGTGCAATTTTTATTATTATTATCATCATCATCATCATCATCATTATTATTATTATTTTCTTTTACTTTTTGTTTAATATAATGGACCCTTATCCGAAAGCCTGAGTGATGAAAGGTAGTAAATACATGCATTCTGTCTATACGAATTCAGTTTTAAGTGACACTTTGACGTATACATTGTTTATATTTTCTTCACCTCGATAACACTTACTTCCTCATATAAATTATTATTATTATTATTATTATTATTATTATTATTATTATTATTACTATTTAAATATATGTATATATCGACAACCGTGAGCCAAAAGACGATATACAGTAGGTGAGAAAACACTCTTAACATTACGAGTTTGTGCGAATGGATGGTAGAACAAGAACAAAGACGAGTGATAAAAGAGTCAAGGGTTAATTGGAGTAACAAAAGACAGGAAGTTGTGGAGAGCCATTATCGCCCACGCTCTGATTAAAACATGAATATTGTTTATATTTTCTTTAAACTGATGATATTCACTTGTGAAGTACAATAACAGAAAAAAAACAGTGCTCTTAATATTTAAAACAGCATATTTAAGGTGCCATATTTTTTTCAGTTTCAGTTATATATATATATATATATATATATATATATATACACTTCACGATTGTCGATATATCTGTATATATCGACAAGTATGAAGAAAAAAATAAATGCTCGATAAGTTAGATGAGAAAGAAAAAAAACCCTCTTGCGCATTCAGCTATTTCTCCTTGACTTTAAATTTCAAAACAAAATGATCCTAATCTTTATGTGCTGTTTATATATATATATATATATATATATATATATATATATATATATATATATATATATATATATATTTTAAATTACCATCTTAAATAAATTTATTCTTATCAATGAAAGACAAATGGCGGGGGTCAATAATTTAAATTTAAGTCTTAAAAATAAGCGTACAAAGGAAATAAACTGTCAACATATTGACATTAAACAACAAAGAAACGAAATTGTAGCGTATACCTTGGTTTATTCGTGTGTGATATTATTAGAATCATATTAACCAAGCTGAAAGTGTCTCTAATTATTTACCCCACCTTAAAAGTCCTTTTCCGAAAAAGAAAGTAGTTGACAAACTAAATAAACCTCCAAAACGAAAACAATTCTATTGAAGCGAAGAGTCTATAACGAGATTGATGCCACTAAAGAATAATAAATTATTTTTTTAAGTATGAAAAATATATAGACTCAAAGAAGATTACACTATGGACGAGGGTTTAATTTATTATGAATACGGGTCTAAATAACTTATTGAACGGAAATCTGGATTCTAAAGTTCGAGCGTAAGAGGCAGTAGGGTTCAAGCGCGCGTGTGCGCGCGCTAGAGAGAGAGAGAGAGAGAGAGAGAGAGAGAGAGAGAGAGAGAGAGAGAAAAGGTAGAAAGAATAATGAAAAAAGGTGCGTTTTTGAAATGACAATTTAAAGTTTAAACTTTTAACACTAAGCATGTGTGTTATTTTCTTCATGTGTATGTTTGTACAAAACTTTGCGGCGTAAGTTGAGGCGACTGTATAACTGGTATAAATAAAATGACCATATGACTGACACACCGTGATTATGTAACTGATATACAGTGACTATATAAGAATGAGATAACAAATAATTAGATCAACAATTGTTGAATAAAAATGGCGAGAACAAAACATTTTGTGAGCGATAGTTTCCAGACACTTTAAATTTTTACAAGTTTTATTTGCACTGCCGCTATTGCTACTGCTACCTTCGTTGACTATGATTGCAATCACTACTACAACTGCTGCTACATTTACTATGACGAACCACCGCTTCTTCAGTCACCATCACTACCACGTATAATACTACTGTCAGACATAAACTATTGCTATATAAATTTACAGTGTGAAAAGTAACACTGAGCAATTAAATTTCGATTTGCTTTGTTTTGCGACCTTTTTTTTTCAAGAGAAACAGTATGACCATTTACATTATTAAAACAATATAACTTTTCTAAGTATTTTTTAAAAGTTTGGAAAAGTTTCTAAACTTTTATAGACTTTTAAATTCTACCAAGAATCTCATATATCAACAAAATAAAAACATTTAAATGTTGAATAGAAATACTCGTTTTTTTTCATTTCTTTTTTTTTGCGGGGTGAGGGTAAAAGTTACAAATAAAGACGAAAGAAACAAAAGTCTTTTCTTAAACAGATTATCAAACATGAAAATGATTTACCTTTTCGTAAACTTTAGCCATCGTGAGTTCAGTTTCCAAAACCATAACAGCAATACCGAACATGCCAAAAACAAGGCAGTAGTCCGAGATACGTTTTCTCCTCTCATACAGGGCTTTTCTTTTGCCCAGCCTGTATCCGACGTTGGGCTTTTGACGTTGTTTATGAGGTTTGTCATCAACGTACCTGGGGTAATCGCTACCTCCGACCAAAGCTACGCCGACATCCTCGGAGGTGTAGCTCATTTTCGATGAGGTCGGGAGAGATTGCATTGAGGTTGGTTTTTGTAGTTGTTTAAAAGTGCCGATCGCCCCATTGACTCGCATGTAATCGGCGCCGATATCCGATAGAAAATCCTTCGCCTTGGGTTTACACTCTTCCCTCTGTCCTCCCCCTTCGTTTTGGCTTGGGCATTCATCCTCCGCCTGAGGCGACCTATCTGGATGAAGTCTAGTGTGGGGAATGTTCTTCAACATGCTTAAGTGCGGAAGCTGGGTATTTTTATCTACTACGGATGGAGATAGTGCTGGCGGTGAGGAGGCGGAGGAGGAAGTCGAAGCAGGTTGAGGGGTGGAGGTGGAGGATGAAGAGGATGAAGAAGTTGATGAGGTGGGTGTTGTGTAGCTGGTGCTAAACTGCTGCTGCTGTTGTTTGTTGTTCGCTGTGTTGGCAGCAGGCGCACCACTAAATGTGCGGGTCGCCAGCGTGGTGGTACTAACAAGACCGGCGATAGAGGCCGCCGGGCCTGTGCCACCGCTGGAAGAGGCAGCTGCTGACAGTGGCGACCTGCACGTGGGACTAACACTGGTGCTACTCGTAATACCGAAAGGACGGCCTGTAGTGATGCCACTTGAGCTGTTAACCGTAGTGCTGAGTGAAAGCGATATGCCGCTGTCGCCAAGAGGACTGTTGCCGCTGCTGGTCGAGGAAGTGTTAACGCCTGAGTTGTTTGTGTTTGTTGTTGCAGATCTTGTTGTTGAGGATGATGATGATGATGACGTAGAGTCGACGTTGCCGACCTTAGCGGCAGTGGCACTCGGTAAATCATGAGCGATAGCCGTAATGCTACAAGTTGAAATGAAAGGTTTTAAGGGTGTGTAAGCAGCTGGGACAGGGGTACTTAATAAAGGGCCTGTATTGGTACGTCCAGTTATAAAGTTGTGCGAAAAATAATATTGGAAAGGGTAGAACTGATCCGGTTGTTGTTGCCGAAAAGGTTTTCGCGATGTAAGGTACTGCGAAAATTGGTAAGGAACCGATTGGGGACAGAGTGGTGGTTTAGAAACATGGCCTGAACTCCTGGCTCCCGGAGGTGGAGGCACTGGTTTCAAATGACTGCCACTGTGTGTCGGTTTTACTGAGACCACTAGCGGTTTGGAAGGCGAAGAGACAGCGGCCGTACTGACTATACTGCTAGTTTTGTTAGCAGAGTTATTCGAAGTGTTGCTAGTGTTGGAACTGATATGATGCAGGTGCAGAAACGGCGAAGTTCCTCGATTGCCGTGTGTATAGCTCTGCAATTCTATGTCTGGAGATGTGTAGGCCCTGTTGATACGTCCGTCGCTGCAGTCGGTAGAATCAAGGGAGAGCTTATGACAATCGCGACCGCCTCCCTTTTCCATGTCATCTTTTTCCACTTTCTCCACAGAAGAGTAGTCATCCTTCGGAGTAACGGTGCGTTTGCTTGCTGTATTTTCTCGAAGTAACTGCTCCTTCGAATCAATTCTCGTATTCTCATTGGCTGGTTCTACCATCACTACCGACATTGTTAATTTCTATTCTGCAGATTGTCACGCTTAGTGGGTTTGGGTGGAGGATCGATAATATGGTTCTAGCGCCTTTTCCTTCTCCTCCTCCTGCTACTACTCCACCTACAGACGCTGAGACATTCACGTGGTCAAGTCCGTTGTGAGATGATGGCCTTCACTGATGCACACGCATATGTCACTTTTCAGTGGGGAAACAGAAGATTAAAAAAAAAAAAAAAAGGTGTGAGAAATTTTAATTAAAAAAGGAGAAAACAATTAAGATGGGAAGTTATTTTGACAACTTTTTTTTCTAGTTTCGTGTGTGTTTTCTTTTGTTATTTTCGTTGTTTTTGTGGTGCATGTTGTTTATTTTCTTGGTCTTTTATTAGTCCAACAAAATCAAATTTCTTTTATTTTTTTATTTTTATTTTACCTTTTTTTTATCTGCTGGAACACACACAAAAGAAGCGATAGAAAAATCCAAAGAAAAAAAAATGTTAATATTTTATGTTCAAAATGAAAACACGAGTTAGAAAAAAATCATAAAGATTTGGAGAAAGGATGAGGGTTGGTGAGAGATAAAGCATGAGGAGATATTAGAAATTACTTTTTAATTCTCTTAAAATAAATATGTTTATTTTTATCTTGTTTGTTTTAAGCCAAATTAAATGTACTTTCACGAGAAAGTAAAAAAAAAAAGGATTTATCTGCGAAAATCACCGATTAGAAAACTTAATGCGCTAAAAATTAAAATAAACTTTCATCTTTTTAATGTAAAAACATAATACAAATTTCCTGATTGATTACAGATATGTAGACATAATAATGTATATGCATACATACACATATAAATATATCCGAGTGAATAAAATATGCCTTCTCCTGCTAAACATAATACAAAATACAAAAATTAAAAAGTTTAGAAAAAATCATAATTCCAAGAATATATTAACTGTATATTAGCTGTGTTGAAACTTGAAATTTTAGCTCTGTTGATTAAATAGTAGCTGTATTGGGACTTTAAATATTAACTTTGTTGAGATTCTATATATTAGCTCTATTTAGATTCTAAATGTTAAGCCTATTGAAACTTTAAATATTAACTGTATTGAGATTCTAAATATTAGGTCTATTGAGTATCTAAATATTAGGTCTATTGAGATTCTAAATATTAGGTCTATCGAAACTTTAAATATTACCACTACTGACACTTTAAATATTAGTTGTATTGGAACTTTAACGAAATTATTTACAACTTCATATACCTGTTTTTTTTTTTAAGAAATTTTAAAAATTACATTTTCATTATATTTTTAATTCTGCAAACGGATACACAAATATGCGAATAAAAAGAATCTTTTACATTATTTAAATTTTTATTACGGTAATAAAATCCATCACTTGTATTTGATATAATTTTATAATAATTTATTCATTAAAAGATTTCTTGGTAAACCTGTGAATTCTTATTAAACATCTCTTTTTGTTAGATATTATTTTTTTGTATGTATTTTTCTTGATTCTGCGAGATGAAAAACGATGCGCTACATTTGAAAATGAAAACGCGCTTTTATCAAAAATTTGTTCTCAGATTCGTCATCACAAAACCGACAACAACAAAAACCAAGACAGGAATGACTGTTGAAAAATAGATTTAAGAAAATATGAAAAGCGTGACATTGAATTGCCCCAAAATGTAATTTTTTTTAGGTATTGATTTATTATGAAAGGCGTGTTTAAAAAACTCCATAATATATATATATATATATATATATATATATATATATATATATATATATATATATTTATATTTATTTTTTGTGTGTGTATATGTATGAATATATGTGTGTGTATATATTATTTCTTGAAATAGTTATGTATATGCAATTATGTCATTTTCAAGTGGATTTTATTATTTGCATGCATGTATATGCATGTACGAAGTATGTATGTATATGATATGTTTATATATTTAAATATAGTTTATTTTTCTTTTCGACTCAAACTTTCATGATGTTTTTTTTTTTAACATTCTATAAGTATTTTAAGTATTAAATGCAGGAATTGTTTTATTTTGAGTTACTTTTTTTTATTTACATTTATCTATACTCAGCGAAAATGTTTCTTACGTAATGTCCATTCCCGCTGATCCTATCATATTTTCATGGGCAAATTGTTATCTATCTATCTATCTATCTATCTATCTATCTATCTATCTATCTATCTATCTGATTATATATATAGCAGATAGTTATATACATATATAATAGATGTAGAGAGAGAGTGGGAGGGGGAGAAAGAGAAAGAGAAAGATAGACTGACAGACATATTGGATAAGCACTTACTTTTGAAACAAAGCGGAAGATGTCTGTAGTTTGGAAAATTTAAAGAAAACCAACGAGGAAGACAAGTAGCCTTCTTTTCAAAGAAATAATAATAATCACAAGAGATAAAACATAAATGGAAGAATGCAAACGAATTCCAAGAAAAAAAAAATTGATTCCGACTAACCAGCTGCTCTTTCGTCACTTTCTTTAAACAGACTGAAATTCTTGGTGCGTAAATTGAGTTAATATGATTTTCCCAGGCGGTGAGCGCTATTGGCTGGAGACAGAACTAAAATCATCATTCCGACTATTTCAACTTTAACTCTTTTTTTCTTTAAGTAGATAAACGCATTTTTGATAAACGCATTTTTGATTAGCCCTTATATTATTACAATTACACCGCTGATTTCGTGATCATTGACCTAAAGTTTATTAATATTTATTAGTTGCTAGCGTTACATAAGTTCTGTAACTAAGACAATTTTCTGTATGTCTCTATTATTATTATTATTATTATTATTATTATTATTATATTATTATTATTATTATTATTATTATTATTATTATTACGCTTGTTACTGTTTTTGTTATTTTTTATTTTTAAAGCGCAGGAAAATCCAGATTTTAAAATAAATGATACTTTTATTTCTTTCAATTTTGGAAGAGTATGTTTCTGAAAAAGATATTAAATATGTAAAATATTTTTTTTTTATTAGAAACGGGAAGGGGAGTCCAGGAGAATAGGGAATAACATGGATAACTTTTATAATACATGCATATAGGTACCAAAAATAGTTATAATGCCAATGTGAGGCAGTGGTAGAAAATCCATTGCAAATAAAGAAGAAAATGCGGTGACGTTAAGGAAGTCGCACCAGCTGTTGATTTTTAGTACGTAATATTTCTGCATTAAGGATTTAGTCAGTTGTTGATTGTAAATCCTTTGTGAGTTTTCCGATGACATTTTTTTTGCTGTCTCGTGTCCGTGTGTCCTCATCTATATATAGCCAGAGTCCGTGAACAATATCTGCGTGTCTGTAGGGGTTGGTTCGATAACAAGGAGAGAGAATGTGGTCTGTCAGAATATTTCGCCTTTCAGTAACTGCCTGAAAGCACAAGAAAATAAACACATAAATAAAGATGAAAATATGGACGATTCACGCTACGACAAACAAACAAACAAACAAAAAAGCGGGAAATGGAAAGAAAGAAAGAAATGAAGAAGCGGGGAGCGTATAGAAAAGGAAAAAGAAAAAAGTTAAATATCATTGAAAAATAAAATAAAAAAGACCAAAAGAAAAAGAAGAAAAGAAAAAAATGTTAATGCGAGCAAAAGAGAGAAATATTAAAAAAATACAAAAAAAAAAAAAAAACAATTGAATGAAGAAAAGCTGAGAAGAGAATTATAATAGAAAATTAAAGGAAAGAACAGAACCCCCTACTGAATGTAGTAAAAGAAAGCGAGAAGAAAAGACAAAACATTAATTGTAAGAAGAGAGAATGTATGGTTGTCAACAAAACGAACCGCCCAACACGCGAATTACAAATGGTGGTACCAAAACCAAGCAAGTACCAAAATTTAAATATCTGGGTAGTGTTTTAACAGAGGACAGAAAATGCGACGCGGAAATTCGTAGGCGCATTGGGATAGCGAAAAACTTAAGAAACTGGAAAATTAGAAAGACAGAAACAAGTTCTGAATTATTATGTAATATCTGTGGAACGAAGACTGAAATAAACAGTAAGGCAGTCAAACACCAAAAGACCAAAAAAAAAAAAAAGGTTTATGAGTCGGACGATTCACGCATCCTTCCAGTTAATAAATTAATCCATTGAAAATAAATATTAAACATTTTTCAACCAATGGGTCGCGTTCCCGCCGGCGATAAAAAACAAAAACAAAAAGAAAACAACAAAAAAACAAAACCTGTTTCTTGATCCCTTTGAAGAGTAAATAAGCAAAGTTTCTAGAACAGACAAGTCAGTAAGGAGAAGAGACGGCAACATACGACAACAGTTCACGACGGCTCGGCTTAAATGAGATTCCTTTGCTCATTTACCCGTCTTCCTCACCAAGGTACGAGACACTTACACTATTGTTCACCAAGCTGTGTAACACTTACACTTTCCTCCTCACTTTCTCCCTTGCCTATTTTTGCTCACACATACACGCAAAGAAATCAAATTTCTTTTCATTTTAACAAACAGCTACAAACAAGAAATTCAAGAATTCATACACGCTAAGAAAAATTTAGTTGTAAAAACACGAACATATTTTTTTAATATTTAAAAACCTTTCTCGCGTTTTTCTTTGTTGTGGGTTGATCCAAAATCCGCAGCATATCAGTCCTTCAGTATGGCAGTGGATGCTGGAAAATTTTCTGACAAATGAAGAGGAGGCTTTAGGAAAGAGGAATGTGACTCTACAGAAGCAGGTGGGGGGGGCTACCATGCATTTAATATGTGAGCAACGACGAAGTTTTAGGGAAAATGGAAGCAAAAGGGGTACTTATACTTAAAGTCAGAAAGAGGCATTTGAAATTTCTAGGGCACATAATGAAGAAAGAAGTCTTACAAAATATGACACTCACAAGACATACCAAAAACAAGAGGGACAGAGGAAAACGCCGCATATATATATATATATATTAAGCATTCAACACGCAAGGGGTTACAAAGTTGGAGCGAGAA